CTGTCATTACAAACACTGCTATGATGAACAGGACTATACATGGGTCCTAAGTCCTAGGAGACACACCTGGGCAAGTGTTTCCTTAGGGTACAGTTCTAGGAAAGGGATTTTTCCATCATAGAGTATGTATGCATCCTGAAATTACGCAGATAATGTCAAATGTTACATCTTTATATGTATTGGCCATTCAAAATTTCCCCTTCAGTGAAATATCTGCTTAAGTATTTTATCCATTTATTTTGGGTTGACTTTTCCTGTCTCAAAATTTCTGAATTAATTCTGGAAACTAATCTCCAGCACAGATAAGTTACAAATATTCTTATTTGTGCATAATGGGTTTTTGTTTTTTAAGTTTAAAGTTCTTTTTTAGAGAGAGAGAGAGAATTTTTTTAATATTTATTTTTTAGTTTTTGGCAGACACAACATCTTTGTATGTGGTGCTGAGGATTGAACCCGGGCCACACGCATGCCAGGTGAGCGCGCTACCGCTTGAGCCACATCCCCAGCCCCATAATGGGTTTTCACTTTTGTTGGGGGGTGGGTACTGGGGATTGAATTCAGGGACCCTTTACCACTGAGCTACACCCACAGTTCTTTATATTTTTTATTACAAGACAGGATTTTACCAAGTTACTGAGGCTGGCCTTGAACCTGCTATCTTCTGCCTCAACCTCCCAAATCACTGGGAATTCAAGCATATACCACCATATCCAGCTTACTTTTTATTATCTTAACTTTAATATAGTTATGTTTTATTTGTGTCCTTTTATGGTTTCAACTTTTGTGTCGGAGGTTAAAAATAAACTTAAATTCCATAATATCATTTTCTAAACTTTTTATAGTTTTGCCTTTATCTTTTAAATACTTAAATTCAATTAAAATTCATTTATTTGTACAGCACAAATCCTGACTTCCATATGGGTAATTCAATCTTTTACCATTATAAAAGTAGTAGTAGCCTTCTTTAGCAATATTTATATATACTTAAGCCAACTTTCTTTTCATTGGTTTTGGCCTGGTACATTGTCTTCACATCCTTTTATATTTAGCATTTCTTTAGACTTATCTTTTAGTTGTATCTCTTATAAATCATACTTGGGGGGCTGGCACTAAGGTTCAGCAGTAGAGCACTCACCTAGCACATGCAAGGCCCTGGGTTCTATCCTCAGCACCACATAAATAAAGGTATAAAAAATGTAAGCATAACATATTATAAAAATAAATAAATAATACTTGGATTTGTTTTCCCTCATCCTAACAATCTCTGCCTTTTTCTTTAATATAATTTTTTTCTTATTCTATTAGCCCCCCTTCTAAGTTATTCAATTTCTAGTATTTTAGCAATTGGCCTTGAAATTATAGGAAGCATACTTACAAAGATCTTTAAATACTTGAATTGTGATCATCTCTATATCAATGCTGTAATGTGCTGAAATTCCCTTTAATTGTATAAGAAATTATTAGTTTTATTCAGCCAATATTTATTTAGATTTACTTATTTTCACAGATCATCACAGTATTTTCCATTTTCAGAGTTTCCATTTGGGAAAATTTTCCTTTTACCTAAAGTATATTCTTYAGAATGTTCTCTAATGAAAGTGTATTGGTAGCAAATTGTTAAATTTCAATTTATCTGAAAATATTTTACCATTGTTTTTGAAAGATATTTTTGTTGAGTATAAAATTCTCAAAACATGATTATTTTTCTTTCATCCTAACAATATCATTTTACCGTTATCAGACTTCCATCATTGCTGTTGAAAAGTTGTCCCCCCTGAGCCTAGATTTCTTTTTTTTTAAGTTCTAGTACATTCATTTTATTTATCTATTTTTTTAATGTGGTGCCGAGGATGGAATCCACCAACTTGCATGTGCTAGGCGAGCACCGTACCGCTGAGCCACAACTCCAGCCCCAGAGATTTCTTTTATATCTATCCTGATTGATGATATATCATTATTTCCATGTACTGGCATTTGTCAATCCTACAATATCATCAGACATTAGCAACTCATCATATATAGCCTCCAGTACACGGAGAGAAAGTCCAAGTGACAGCAAGTGTTTTCCTCCTAGTTCCAGTTAGATGAGTGTTAGATTTTCTTGTTCCATTTTTTAAAAAATATTTATTCACGATACCTTTATTTCACTCATTTAGTTTTTTAACGTGGTGCTGAGGATTGAACCCAGGGTCCCGCGGGTATGAGACAAGCCCTTTACCGCTGAGCCACAACTCCAGCCCCAATTTTCCATTTTTCTTATCTCTTATCTTCTCACATTTCCCTTCTCTTTTTTTTACTTACTCTGCATTGTTTTCTGGATAATTTCTTCACTTCCACCAGTTAATTATCGGTGTGTCTAATATGCAAATAAGTATAGCTTTCCACTGACTTTAAAATTTTAATTATATTTTTTATTCTTAGAACTTCTATTTTAGAACTATAGTTGTAGCTCAGTGGTAGGGTGCTTGCCTAGCACATGTGAGGCACTAGGTTTGATCCTAAGCAATACATAAAAACATAATTATATCCATCTACAACTAAAAATATTTTTAAAAATAAATTCTATTTTACTTTTTCAAACTGGGTTGTTTTCTCTCTTGACCCTTATTCATATTTCCCATTCTTTCTTTTATCTTTAAATATATTAAGCACAGTTATTTCATATTCTGTGTCTAATACCACTAATGTGTGAAATCTTTGAGGATTTAATTTGTTGACCATTATTTTTACTGGCTTTTCTTTTCCTTGTTTGTTTGGTAATTTTTTAAAATCATAAACTCGTACTTCTTAGAACTTTATCCATTGGAATTAGTTGAAGTCAGGCTGCAGTTGTAGCTCAGTGGTACAGTGCTTGCCTAGCACGTGTGAAACACTGGGTTCAATTTTCAGCACCATATAAAAATAAATGAATAAAATAAAGGTATTGTTTCCATCTACAACTAAAAACATTAAAAAAAAAGAATTAGTTGAAGTCTAAGTTAAATGTAGATTCCTTCAGAAGAGATTTGTTTGTGGGCTGGGGTTGTGGCTCAGTGGTAGAGTGCTTGACTACCAGGTGCAAGGCCCTGGGTTTGATCCTCAGCACCACATAAAAATAAATTAATAAAATAAAGGCATTGTGCCCAACTATAACTAAAAATTAAATATTTTTTAAAAAATTTGTGTTTGTTTTTGACAAACAACTGGGAATTCTTTAAATGCTTGGCTTAGGATTTCTTGAACTATTCTATTCAGAGAGTATGAATTCAAGCAACAAGCTCATAAATTCTCAAGGGAGGGGCTGGGGATGTGGCTCAGGCTGTAGCGCGCTGCCTGGCATGCATGTGGCCCGGGTTCGATACTCAGCACCACATACAAACAAGGATGTTGTGTTCGCCGATAATTGAAAAATAAATATTAAAATTCTCTCTCTTTTTAAAAAAAAATTCTCAAGGGAAATCTCAGACCCATCTCACAATGTCAAGGTTTAATGCCTTTTTAAATTTTTTGCAATCACCTAGGGGAAAGAGCTTACATTTAATTAATTCAGCCTTAGAATATTGCCCTTTGAATTCTCAGCTTTAGGGGGTTGTAACAGGAGGCTTCTCTATCTTAAGCTCTGAGTTTTGTCTTCTATTTTCTAGGTCCCTTGAGGTCATAAAATACCAAAAATGAATGTTCAGAAAATACCCTCAAAGTTGGCCTCAGAACTCTGCTTACCTCTTTAAAATGTTCCCTCTTTCACTTACTTTATGCAAATATTCTTTACTATACATTTCAAATGCATTTATATAGGTGTTTTTCTCAGCATTTATTAATTGTTTTCATCAAGGCAAGGACTTGGACTAGAGATACTTTATCTTAAGAGATAAAGTCTGAGAACAGAAACATGCTGAAGAACAAATCTGTCCTACAGTGACAAATCCCTAAGTTATCTGAAGCGAGATTTGGGATTTTGGTGATCTTTAAGGCTTCCTCGCCACAAAGTCTGTTGGTGACGCGTAAGCAATCCTGGAACGAGCAGTAGGGAGCAAGCATTCTAGCAGGGTTCTCCTGCCCCAAGTCTTCCAAATCCTCCCTTCTCCACTTCCTGCAAGAATGGAATCTAGTGCACCCTGCTCAAGGTAACGTTTTCACCACAGGATCTTCTTAGCCCTTCATTCTCACTGAAGATCTCACATGATTCTGAAAAGGTTTGTGGACCCAAAACGGCTGCATTAAAACCCTATTCAGTTATACCTGCCCTCCCCATAGGAAAGCCTCCCCGGTATTTTTAAGTTAACCATTACTCCAGAACAGAAATGAGGAGTGTCARCGCTAGAAGGAACCCTAGAAATCATCTAGCAACTAACTCAACACTTGCAACTCAGAGTTCAACGGAGACCCAGAGGGTGGACACAGTTGCCTAAAATCACCTAAACTGGGTGGCTTGAGAGCTCGGGTAGGACTGACCTCGTTTCCCGTCTCCATACCCAGGTACTCCTAACAAGCGCCAGTGTCTTGACATTCCTTGAAAAGGGGTGGTTTCGGGAGGCAGAAGGGGAGGAAAGAACTCCGACACCTTCGCAAACAAAACCCAGCAACTACGGTAAGTGACACCTGTCCCCAAGCACAGGCGACCCCGCCCGCTCTCATTCGTGGCTGCACCCCAGCACAGAAAGTTGTAGGAGTGTGACAGAGAAACCGGCAGCGCGTCAGGCCAGACGGCGCGGTGAACGAGTGTGGGGTCCCCGGAGCACCGGGCGAGCTCGCTGGTGGCGACGGGACCGTGGGTTCCCAGGCCGGGCAAGAAGCAGAAACGTATGGCCACTGGGACAATCCCAAGAACGTGAAACGAGCCTCGCGGAATTTCTGGGCGCCGGCGCAGAGGCGCCGGACGGACGCGGAGGGAGCGGGTGCCTGGGGCCGCGGGCGGGTGAGGGAGGGGCGCCCGCCCGCGCCCGCCGCAGCGCGCGACGCCGACCCCGCCCCGACGGGCTCCGCCGCCTGAACGGCCTGAAGGTCGCAGGGGAGCCTCTCACCCGAGCAGGCGCCGCCTCCGCCATGGCTCCAGTCGCCGCTCAACAGCCGGGCCGCCTGAGAGCCGTCGGGCTGCGCGCCAGTCCGCCCGCGCCCGGACGCTCTCGGAAGCTGCCGCCGTGTTGACGCGAGGTGCACTCTGGGAGCCGGCCCTGCCCGCCAAGATGGGGCTCAGTCGCCCGGCCCACGCGCTGGTTTCCATCGCGCCCCCGTGCGGCCGGAGGACGAACGGCAGGCCGGAACCCAGGCCAGCGCGGCATGGCGAGCCAGCTCCAACCTTGAAGTCCAGAGCACGTTGTGAATTGAGGGAGAACCCGCGGGCCTTTGTGTGTCTTTTGGGTGCCAGCACTTTACTAAATGCTTTGCGGGATTGAAAAATGCATGAAACTCGGACTTTGCTCCTAGAGAAGAACATGTAACCTACTCAGGGAAAGGAGATATGGCCCCAACTGGCAAGTGCCCTTATACTAGTAGTGCACTTATTACCTGGCTTTTTAGATAATAGAATCTCATTTTCATATCAACAGTGTGGAGTCAAGGACCCAGTCAACCCACTAAGTGTGGTGTCACATGCCTTGGAAAATCCAAGATAGACTTGATTCAAATAATTAATCCAGTCCTTGAGCTGCATGTGTATTAGAAGGTGTGTTCGGAGKTTAGGATTAGAAAGCATGGCCACGTTACCATTTCATCACCATATACCAGCAACACTCCTGCAACCATACTTACCTAATTTATACCATTTTGCCTCTCTAGATATGTGAATGAGAGTGAAATGAACGTCTAATGACAGGCATGAAGCGCTTCCTCTGAGATGTAAACTCTTAAAATCAACAGAAAATGTGTTACCCTAGACTGTCTCCTTCACAGGAAGGGCTGAGGTCAGATTCCACTTCCTCAAAGAGGTCTGCCCTACCTACTCTGACTACAGCCCAACTCTCTCCTCCATCCCCAAACTCCTTGTCTTCACCCTGCTGGAAATAACCTCTTTTTTTTTTTTTTCATTTACTTCTCTGTCTCTTCCACTAAAATGTCTTTTCACAGTATCGTCTACTCATTTTTCTCAGAAGTGCTCCCAAATGCTTTTGAATGATTAAGTAGTGAATCAGAGAGTAAGGATATAAAAAGCCATCTCAAAGATGGTGGCGCACACCTGAAATCCCAGGGGCTCAGGAGGCTGAGGCAGGAGGATTGTGAGTTCAGAGCCAGCCTCAGCAACAGGCGAAGTGCTAGGCAACTCAGTGAGACCCTGYCTCATAAATAAAATACAAAATAGGGCTGGGAATGTGGCTCAGTGGTCAAGTGCCCCTGAGTTTCATCCGTGGTAGAAAGAGAGAGAGAGAGAGAGAGAAAAGATATGATTTTCAGGGCAAACAGATTGACAGGAGCTTGATTGAATCATTACCAAATCTTAAGGAAGAATGGACCAGCCTGAAGAGACTAATTAACAATAAGTTCTGACCTCTCTCAGACCAATAAACACTTGCTGTCAGACTCAGAAAGACATGTATCATGATTGTGGAGACAGACATATCAGGACATAGGGCATTGTTCATAGAACTCAGCCCTCATTCCATTTCTATGCTCACCAGGCTGCTGACTGATGAGTCAAGTTTCCACGTAGCTGCTGGGAGACAACATGCATTAGACTGATGGGAATGAACAGTCCACCCCTGGAAATGGTTAAACTGATACTCTAGTTTGTCCATCAATCTCTAGAGAGCTTGATTCAGAATTCTCATGCTGAGCCTGGGATTCTGGAAAAGAGTTTATTTTATTTATTTWTTTTTTAAAGAGAGAGTGAGAGAGAGAGAGAATTTTTAATATTTATTTTTTAGTTCTCGGCGGACACAACATCTTTGTATGTGGTGCTGAGGATCGAACCCAGGCCGCACGCATGCCAGGCGAGCGCGCTACCGTTTGAGCCACATCCCCAGCCCTGGTAAAGAGTTTAGATTGAATTTCCAGCCTTCCATGGAGGAGGGAGACAACACCAGGTACTGGTCTGTAGGTGCCTGGCCTTTGGGAAATGGTGTAGGGCAATGATTTAGGAAATGTGACTGGAGAATGACACCAGTCCTGGCCCAGCACTGCCATTTACTCGAGGTGGACCTTGTGCAAATCTTTAACTCTTGGTACTGTCATTTCCTCCTTATTCTTGGGGAATAATAATACTGTTTAGTTCACAGACTTCCTGTAAGGAAGTTAAATGAGTTAAATGAATGAATTCAAGGCATTAAAATAGCACCTGTCATGGAGTAAGAGTTCAAGGAGTGCTCATGATCATATAACAAAGACTTAGAGGCTGCTCTGGCTAAAAACAGTGACTCTTGGGGCTGCAAATTTCCAGTTGGAAATGAAAGGCCAAATGAAAACTTGGCATCTCTGCATCTGACTCTTTTTCTCAGAGTCATTCTCTCTCTCTCTTTTTTTTTTTTTTTTTTTTTTTTTTTGACTGTCTTACTATGTTACCCAGGCTGGTCTGGAACTTCTGGACTCAAGTGATCCTCCTGCCTCAGCCTCCCAAATAGCTGGGACCACAAGTGCAGCCACCACACCTCCCAGATTTCTTATTGCATCTCTCTCTTTCTCTCTTTTTCACATTTTGAATTTTAAATGTATTAATGTAAAATGTCTTCAAAACTTCATTAATTATTTGGCTAACAACTGGTACATAATTCCTCTCAGGGAAAGAATAGTATTTCATTTGTCCAGAGTTTTATAGGTCATTTTATTTATGGAAGAAGAGTCACAACGGCATGGCTTGGAAGGCAGAAGGTGAAAAGTTAAAACCAAATTGCTCTGGGTAAAGAATTAGGATTTGGGGATTTCCCTGCATATCCTGGGATAAAGGGTGAGAGGGCTCAGAACAGGGAGGAGAGCTGCTCTTTAGAGAACCAGCAGAGAGATGAAATATGGAAGCAGGTGGCAAACTCTGAGCAAGTCCTGGGAGTGAGAATGGTTCCAGGTGTTTTAAGAGCAGAGACTAAGTCTAATTTGGGTCATTTACTGTGCTAGGCTGAGATGAGATCGCTTCTGTGACTTTCAAATTATAAAGTCCACTACACATAAATGTCATGTGGGTTAACATAGAACCAAGAGAATAGACCTGCCCTTGGCCGATAGTTTGCTCAGCTGCCTGTTTTTATAGTTACAACAATTGATGAACCAATATGGTAATTCACAGGCATAGCCTTGTTAGTTCTGGGCCCTAGTGTGAAGTTTCCTACTTTTCCCCCTTTCATGTTGACAGTATTCAATACCCAGAGACCAGATCTCAGACAACCAGTTATGGGGCCTGAATCCTTGATTATAAGATAACTTTATTTCTTTCATAGCATTTAAATGTCTTCAATAATTTTTTACTTTTTTTTTTTAGTAATTTCTTTAATGGTTGCCTAGGAGTTTCCTATCTCTTATGAAAAATAGCTTCAAATTTGTACCAACTTAACTCCAATGATAGAAAGAGAATGTTAGTCCTAGCCAGGCGCAGTGGCGCACACCGTAATCCCCGAGGTTCAGGAGACTGAGGCAGGAGGATCGAAGTTCAAAGCCAGCCTCAGCAACTTAGTGAGGCCCTATCTCAAAATRAAAACTAAAAAGGCTGGGGATGTGGATGTGGCTCAGTGATAAAGCCCTGCTGGGTTCAATCCCTGGTACCGAAGAAAAGAAAAAAAGAAATATTAGTCCTACACAGTCTRTTCCCCTTTGCTTTCCTTTTTTTGGGGGGTATTATTGTTATACATAATTTTACAATGTATTGTATTTTGTTATAATAATTTAAATATAAATTTAAATATAATTTTATGTCCTTTAATAAAGTTGAAAGCAAAAAGGAGAGCTTTTTTAAAATCACTTTTGTTATGTTAAACTTCTTTTTAAAAACTTATTATTTCTGGTTCACCAATAAATCTATCAATCTTTAAAAAAGAAAATAACTTTGGTCACCTGTGGTTTTCATTTTCAGTGTCATCTAGCTTACACCTGCCTTCTTAGGTCTTCCATTGCATTCTCTGTGGACAGCTGTGTGTGCTCTGCTTCTAAGGAGTTCCATGRGACTGCAGCACAGTGGACCCTGGGCTCACTGGCAGCCTATAGGACAATCTGGGAGTTGAAGGACCTCCTTGCCTGCTTGTGCCTCACCATCTGATTCTGTCCCCTGCAACTTCACACCCTTGGCTCTGACCACACTAGTCTCCTGCATCATAATCCCTAGTGCTGTTGCTCCCCTTGCTTTGTCCTCAGCCATGTGCCTCCTCCCTCCTTTCCCTTTGCCCCATCCATCTCGTGCTTTAAACCCAGACTTCTCTATGAAGATTTGCCGGACTCCTAGAGCATCATGAGCTCCTGCCTCTCATGTTGACCCATTCTTATGACCCATTGTCAAGCAAAGGCTACTGCCTGGGGTTGCCAGCTTCCTTTTCATGTGTACCCCAATAGTGCCGATCCTGACTAATGTGCAAACACTGAAAAGATAACTGAACAAATTGCAAAAGCCAATGTCCTGAGTCACCATCTCTGATCAATTCTGGAGGTAGAGCTTACTATGAGACTTTCCCTGGAGCCCATGCTGGGGTATGGGTGATGCATGATACAGCTGAGGGCATTTGGCTTCCAGGAACCCAGAGACTTTTTGCCTCTCTCTAGCTCTGAAAGACTTTTCTACAGAAAGAGCCCAGCTTTCTCATGATGGACTTTATAGATCAATGTGTATTTCTCAACTCTCCTCTCCAGCGGTCATATGCTTTCTAGTGTTTTTTTTTCTCACAAATATCTTCTCTCCAATTAGAAATCAGACTCCTAGAGAGAAAGAATTATTCACTAAGAATTGAATAATGATCCAAGCCCCCATCTATCCTCTTTCTCATCCTCCAAGTGCCTGTTTTCCTCTTTCTGTATCTATAGTGGCAGGAATTGGCAAAATGTAAGGGATTGAGGAGGGCACAGTGATCCATGCCTGTAATCCCAGCAACTCTGGATGTTGAGGCAGAAGGATCTCCAGTTTGAGGCCAGCCTTAGCAACTTACGGAGACCCTAAGCAATTTAGTGAGATCCTGTCTCAAAATAGAAAAAAAAGAGCGGGGGATGAGTTTCAGTGGTAGAACACCCTGGGTTCAATCCCCAGTGCAAAAAGTTAGGGAATGAGGCAATGAGCATGACGTCTGCTGAGCTGGCCACCCGCCTCAGCTTGCCCTGCACCTCAGTGCATGCTTTCAAACACTGGCCTTTGCAGGGCCTGCCTGTACCCAGTAGTGTGATGGCAATACAGAGGAATGTTGCAGTCCAGACATCCCTGTTGAAACTCTCCAGGCCGCCAAGGACAGAAAGTTCAGAAAGGATATCCAAAGATGAGGAAGTAAATCAAGTGTCTGGGAAAAGACACAGGCCTGGAAGAACATAGAAGAATCTGAGCAGTAGGTGCTGAAAGAGGCCAGCTTCTTAAGTGTCATCTACTTTTACTATTAGGCTCTCTGAGCCTGTGCTGCCATTCACAGGTCAGGGCCATTCATGGCTCTCAGTGCAGTGGGACCCACCAGAGTAAGCTTGAGGAAACTGAGGGCTTGACTCAAATAGCTCAATCACTACACTTGGGGCATCACTGCCTGCCGTGTAAAATAAAGGGACTAGATTCAAGCTATGTGCTATCTTAAAAACCCATATCTCAGTGATGATTTCTCCCCCTTCCTCACACTTCCAGTGGCCAAAAAAAAAAAAAATGGATCTTATATTTCATGATTATGAAAATATTAATTTTCTGCATATGCTTTTGAAAAGTAGTATATGGTCCTTTCCCAACCGATGCTTGAAACAGATTCCCATCTGCTCTATCAGCTCTCCACTGAAACTCATCTATGTTTAACTTCCCATCCTAACTTGTTTTCCTATGATTCGCCCCCTTAAAGAAGTGGAATGGAAAAAAAAAATCCCAATTATTTGGATTCCGTTCATTGAGGCTTTACTGTAGGACGCCACGCAGAACCCTCCAGCTTTGTGAACATGCAGTCTGCAATCTGGATACCTTTTATTTAATTTCAACAATTCCCTTTGCACGGCAAAAAGGGGTCTGAGGAAAGCAGAGGAGCGCAGATGAACAGAAGGGCAGAAGCAGAGCGCTCACAAAGGTGATGCGGCAGAGTGCTGGCCGCCCACCGCGCTCCGGTGGCTGGGAGAGAAGCGGGATCCATGGGAGGAGCAGGAAAAGCCATTTTTGACACAAAAAAAGGGTCCTGGGGCATGCCACCCCACCCCAGTGCCTGGCCATGCAAGACGCTGAAATGGAGACTGTGGCCCCTGGGGCCGTGGTGCCCAGAGCCACRGAGCGATGCACCAACACGTAAGGGAGTCCTTTGCGCGCTTCCCAAGGCGCCTGCAGGGTCAGAGCATAGTAGTCTGTGTCCATGTCCATGAGCATGGTCAGGTAACAGATAGCACCAATTGGGAGGCCCAGGGCAGGAAAGAGACTGAGGCTCRAACTCTAGCACCCACTTGTGCAGCCCTCCTGGGCAGAGACTCATTCCTTGGAGGCTGCTCGGGCAGCAAAGGCCTCTCCCTCTCCCCTGGAGAATTGGAGAAAATCATCAGGGGAGGTCTGACCCAGAGCACCGCTGCCTCTGGAGGGCGGGGCCTCACTGTGTAGTGAAAAGCTGCTGCTGCACCGGATTGAGGGACTGGAGGCGGGAAGGACAGGCTAGGGGTGAGCGCGCTACTACTGCCCAGGCGTCTCTCATAGAAAGAGCCTTCTGGAGCACGAATCTGGGCATCTTTGTAGCCAATCTGTTCCCCACCCCCAGTTACCCAGGAGTTGGCCCCTGATGCTTTTAATTTTGGGGGAGGGGGTGTCAAGGGAAGGAAAGAGACCAGGAAGGCCAGGCCAGAGTGGTCTCAGACGACGGAGGTAGGCAGTGTGTGCGGTGGGGACACTGCGCTGGGCCGGAGCCCTGGTGCGGCTCCACCACGCTCTTCTCGTGTGATCTTGGGTAAACCATCTCACCTGTGTCTCACTTTCCTCAGTTACCACGTCAGGAAAATCCTACCCCACCTATCAGAGGGATAGGCTAAGGGTGAAAATAGATAACGGATAGAAAACACTTTTAAAAAAGTATAAAGCGCTATTCAAACGCGAGGCAGTGTTGTCATCGTGAGGAGGTTACCCTTAGCGCATCCCTCAGCTCACCAGTGCACCTTGGCTTCCTTTACAGGGCGTCTCCTAACCTTAGGATTATATTTCCTTATTTCAGAAGGGTTTAGAGACTCCCTGGTCACTTCCCCTGATCACAACAATCTGCGGCCCCAGTGGCCAATAGGCACACTAGGTGGGCCGAGTGTGTCCAATGACTCTCACCTCCTTGCTGTCCCTCTGGCATCTTCCTGGGTGGTGCGGTCCACCCTATGAGATGAGGTGGGCTGTCCATTCTGGCTGGACAAGCCTAGGGTACCCCTGTCCAACCCTCAGGGGAACCCTATATGGAGTGCAATTTCTGTGCCCGATTTCCAGCAGGTGGTGAGAAGAGGGCGGGAAGGTGCACCAAGAAGGATGGGGCAGGATGGTAGGTCCTCCGGAGCCCCTTGCCCACCCCCGGCTCCATTCTGGCCCTCCCCCGCCCCCAGCCCAGCCCTAGTCTCGCTCGGGTGGGGCCTGGAGCGGCCGAGGGGCATTAAGGCCCGGGCCGCCACTGTGCACACGCAGGTGGTCCTTGAGTGACTCYTTGTAGCGGAAGCTCTTTCCGCACTCTCCGCAAGTATAGGGCCGCTCGCCCGTGTGGATGCGCTGGTGCTTGAGCAGGTTCTGCTTGCGGATGAAGCTCTTCCCACAGAGCGCGCACTGGAAGGGCCGCTCGCCTGTGTGCAGCCGCTGGTGGTTCTGCAGGTGCTCCTTGCGGCTGTAGGTCTTCTCGCACTCGGAGCATTTGTAGGGCCGTTCACCTCGGTGCGTCATCTGGTGGCGGATGAGGCCCGAGTGGCAGTTGAAGCTCTTCTCGCACTCGGCGCATTCATAGGGCCGCTCCTTGGTGTGGCTGCGGTGGTGGATGATGAGGCTCTTACGCACGCCGAAGCTCTTGCCRCACTCGGGGCACGAGTAGGGTTTGCTGCGTGCACCATGTGCCAAGAGGCTCCGCCGCAAACCACCGGGGCAGCAGCTGCCACAGCCTCCACCTGCACCAGTGCCACCACCAGTGCCACTGCCGCCGCCGCCGCCTCCACCACCACCGCCACCACCGCTACCACCGCCACCTCCGCTGCCACTGCTCCCTGCACTGCCATCCCCACCTAGTGGCGCCTCGCCCACAGTGCGCTCCCCTGGGAGGGCTGGAAAGCCCTCATCCAGCAGCCCCCGGCTCCCGGGGCCACCAGGGTTCTCAGGCACTGCCAATGCCGGCAGGCTCTGCTGGGGAGGCTGAGGCTGMGGCTGGGGCTGAGCAGGGGCCTGGGGTGGGTTCTTCACCAGTAGCAGGCTGTCACCTGGGGGAAAACAGGAAGAAGTGACATACTGACAGTGTTCTTACTTGGGACCCCACACTGTTCCTGAGAACGGGACCAGGTCACAGGCTATCTGGGCCTAAGTTTCTCTAAAAATGAGGAGATTGAGCAGATGATAGGTGGCTGTCTGTATGGCCCTCTGCCTGACGAAGTCATGTGCTGGGAAGCACTAGARGCAGCCAGGCAGGTGGCAGGTGGGGACAGGAAAGCCTTCCAGGAGGCTGAAGCTAAGGGGTAGGGGCCTGCAATCCAAAAGCCACCTTGAAAGGTACACTGCCTGGAAATAATTAGACTTAATTACAATCTAATGAATAATGATAATTTATCTCTGGAGATTCTCTCAAGAGTAGGAAAAGAACTTGCCAGAATTTTCCACAGTAAAAATCAGTCTAGAGGTCTAAAGAAATGTATACAGGGAGCTGGGACCACAGTTAGCCCAGATGGATCTGTAGTCAGGGCAATAACGGGCTGGGCAGCTGGGCAGTGTGAGTGCCACCCAGGCCTGATGGCCCCTGGCTCCTGACAACGCAGCCTGCTGCTTTTCTTTGCACACCGGAGTCTCCAGGCCACTAGGCCACAGCTATCCACTGCCTTGGGGGCTAGTGGGAGACAAAGTCCAAACCCTGAGCATCAGAACAGTGTCTTTAGTGCCCAACCCAGGAGGCACCCAAGTGCTCCTTCTGTTTAAATGTCTTCTTGTGCCTCCACTTCTGTCTGCTCCCTCATCTCTAGCTCCAGCCTGTAAAGCCCCATCTATCACTTAGGGCAGCCTGTGGTGGAACTGTGAAGAAGTTGGTCCCACTCCCACCTCTTCTTGGTGTACTTTTCAGTGCTCCCACTTCTGTCCAGGCCCCAACTGAAGCCACCTCCCAGAGTGCACCTGCCCTGTTTCACCCCACTCTCCATACTCAAGACCTGCTCTGAATGCCTGTAACAGGTCAGGCCCAGCACCACACCACCACCACCACCACCACCACCACCACCACCACTCCACCCAGTCAGGCAGACAGCTACCTCTATGGGACACTGGAAAGGCCAGAAGCAAAATAAAGTTTGCCTGCCTCAATTCAGGATGTCTCAGAATGGCCATGCCAGCTCCGGGGCATTCTGGGCCATTGGCTATGGCCCTGTGTAACTGCATTGAGTCTTTGCCACTCTTTCTACTCTACTTGGCTACTCTTTATTCCTTCACAGATGCCTTTCTCAAAGGGTGGCAAAGAAACTCTGGGTTCATAGCCCTCTGGAGATGCTTCCCTTGGAAGCCAACCTAGGACATTCCTACCCAGACTAAGTCTTCAAACTCAGCATGAGCAGCAGTCCAGCTCTCATTGTCTCGCCATGTTCCATGCACCCAGACTTTGTTCTCTCTGCCTTACCTAACTTGGCTCTCAGGACAATCCCTCCATGGCAAACACTTGTTGCATTTTGCTCTTCTCCCCAGTGTGCTTCCCTGGGGAACCCCAATTCTATGACTGCACTCAAGTGCCTGAGGCTACTGCAGAAAGCTGCAGAACTCTCATAAGGAGACCGTATGCTGCACTGTCTTGGCTTTTTTCTCTAGTGGGTTCTGCTTTTCCTTTCTACCATAATTATGTCACATCACCTCCTCCTCCAATGATGCCCGCTCAGGCATGGCCAAAAGGGCTTCTCCTTGATTTCCTGTTAGTAATTAATTCAGATATAAGCATGTGATTGAGTTCTGGCAAAGGGTGTGAAAAGTTTGCTTCTTTAACTCTCTTTTTTAGGGGGTGGGAGTACTGGGGATTGAACCTAGGGTTGCTTAATCATTGAGCAACACCCCTAACCCTTCTTATATTTTTAGGGGGAGACAGGGTCTYGCTAATTTGCTGAGGCTGGCTTTGAACTCCTGATCCTCCTGCCTCAGCCTCTTGAGCTGCTGGGGTTACAGGCATGTGCCACCACAACTAGCTTGCTTCTTTACTCTTGAAGGCAGTTCAGTTAAAACCCCAACTGGGACCCCTTGTGCCCCAGTCCCAGCTGCCATCATTTATCGGCTCCTTTTCATAGCCACTTTAACTAAGAGTTACCTAAACTTGCTTTTAGCACTTCTTCACCTTCCTTTCCCCTTTTTATTAGGGTCAGGCATGTGCTCTCACCACTCCAATGAGAATGTTGTCAAGGTCAACAACACTCTCCAACGCCCCCCTGTGGTGTATGTCCAACCTCTCATGGCTGTGACATAATCGGCCCCTCCCTCCCTCCTCTTCTCCCAGCTTTGGTAGGGCCATGCTCTTCTGGTTCCTACCAGGCCTGGGCCTGGGATTTCTTTCTTTCTTTTTTTTTTTTTTAAGATGGGATTTCTTTTAATTCTTTGTCAACACTGTCTCCAGAATTCACAGTCCTTAGGCTTAAAACAGCCCATGTGTAATAATTTCACTGCCTTTGTCCTTGGTTCTTGGACCAGTCTCTAAATCCTTGGAATTTCCTGTGTTTTTGTTGTCCACAGTGGACTCTGATGGAGTGCTGATGATGAGGTGACTCACGGGCCTCTAAAGAATTGAAGTTACAAGCTGGGCGCAGTGGCACATGCCTATAATCCCAGCATCTCAGGAAGCCCAGCCAGAAGGATCATGAGTTCAAAGCCAGGCTCAGCAATGGTGAGTCATTAAGCAACTCAGTGACCCTGTCTCTAAATAAAATACCAAATAGGGCTGGGGATGTGGGTCAGTGGTCAAGTGCCCTGAGTTCAATCCCCAGAACCAAAAAAAAAAAAAAAAAATAGGGTTGAAGTTAATAAGATGACTCAGGATGGAGCTGGCCATGCCAGAAAGATCAACCGTATGATAAAGGGTTGGGGCTTCCAGTGAAATCTCCAGGGAGAGGAAGAGGGCTAGAGATTGAGTTGAGACTCTTGGTCAGTGACCCAGTCAGTCATAGCTAGCTACAAAAACCCAATAAGCACTGTGACCAGTGACGCTCAGGCATGCTTCCCTGGTGGGCAACTCTCTGCATACTGTCACACATCAGGGTGCTGGGAAGGTGATAGATCCTGACTCCATAGGGAACAGACAATGGGAACTTCATGATTAGGACCCTCCCAGACCTAGACTTATGATTCTTCCTTYGGCTGGGTCTGATTTAAACCCTTTGGCTATAATAACATTGCAATTATAAATGTGGCAAGCTTCTGAATTTTGTGAGGCTTTATATAGCACATGTTTGAACCAGCGGGAAAGTGGAAACCCAGAATTTGTAGCTAGCTGGTCAGAAATGCGGGTGGCCTGGGATCCCCATGCTGGTGGCTATACCTGAAGGGAAGGCAGTGTTGTGCAGTACAGTGGCCTCAACTGGTGAAGTGTGGCCTAACTCTAGGGGGCTAATGTGAAGTCACTGCAGCCTATAGCTCCCAAATCAATTCAGCTCTGAGCTCTCTCTTGAACTTCAGACTCCCATGCTCATCTTGGACACTGCCACTTGGATGTGACCTCAAACCTCAACAGGTCCTAACTGGGATAGAGGGTGTCCACAGCTACCTGGCTGTTTCCCAGGGATGCGCACTTCAGCAAGGGGCACTGCATTCACCCACTTCCTCAGGCCAGACCCAGGAGTCATTCTTGGGTCCTCACCCCACCTGCACCCATCATCCACAGCTCCAAAGGCTTCCTCCCCATGTGCCCTGCTGCTGTGCCAACTCTGACCAACCACCCTCTCTTCACCAGCACTAGAGCAGAGCTACCAGCCTCTGAAACACCTCCTTGTTTCCTCAGCTTTGGCTCAATCCACACCCACCCCTTGTTCATACCTGAACTGACCTTGTGAAAATGGAAACCAGATCCTGTCATGATCCTGCGGAAAACCCTCTGCTAGTCTCCTTTGTTGTTAGAACACAATCCAAWCTCTAACTTGGTTCCTAAGTTCTGCCTGCCTTCCCAGCCTCACCCCCAAAGCCTCCTGGGCCTTTGCCCTGCTCTCCCTCGCCTGGTCCACTCTTGCAGACAATCTATGGCCAGCTCCTCTCAGGACRCTGAGCACACTCAGCTCTCACTTCCCTGGGAGGCATTTCCTGGRGGCTCTGCTCAGAGCCCTGCTGCGTCCCTTCCTCCTGTTTTCCTGSCCCATCACCCTCGGGACACTTGCCACGGCCTGGCTTTGCCCTGGCTGCTCATGGGCTTGCTTATCTTCCATCCTCTTCCCACAGAAGGAAAAGTCTTTCTGACCTGCTTACTCTCATGCTGACACACACAGGGCACAGAGTGGGCACTAAGGAAACACTGGCTAAATAAACAGAAAGTAGAGAAGGTTTTGGCCCCAGGCAGTGAATAATGTGAGCTGAGATCAAGGGGACAAAGCACATTCTGTGGATGTGGGTACCTGGATAAGGTAGCCCAGCTACAGTGTAGCTGGCCACCATTCCTTCCAGAAGCACATGGTAGTCACTGGGCTCCAAAGTCCTATTCAGAGCTCCTGCTTTGCACATTAACTTTGGATGAGGTGGATTTTTACCYTGTTTACACTAACTATCTGAGAGTAGAGACTCAACACATACTCGTTAWTAGGTAAAATCAGAAATCTCTTTTACTAAATTGTAATGTCCACTTAGGTAGCAGTCTGACTTTAGTCAAGCAGGACACCAGTTCCTCCTCTTGCGTAGCCAGGGCTGGGGAAGAAGTCTGGCAGATACAGGTCTCACCTACCATCCTCTCCCCTTATAACCCCAGTCCAAAAGACTCTTTCACATAATTTTAAGAGTCCTTCCGGGACTGGGGATGTGGCTCAAGCAGTAGCACGCTCGCCTGGCATGCACGCGGTGCTGGGTTTGATCCTCACCACCAGATAAAAATACAATAAAGATGTTGTGTCCACTGATAAAACATTAAAAAARAAAAAAAAGAGTCCTTCCATCTGTCCCTGGCAATACCACACTAGGTTGGCTTTAAACCTCAAAAGAAATAACGGCTGATATACTAGTTTCAAATTCCAACATTAATAAGCAGGAGGCAGGCTCCCTTTGGAAGACAAGAAACAGGACCTGATAGATAGACTATCATGACTTACGAGGAGAAAGACATTTCCAGATACTCCTGTCTCTCTGATGCTGGGTTCAAAGGCATCCCAAAGATAAAACAGGACAAGGCAAACTGTCCTATGGGTTGTCAAAGCCAAACCAAAGTAGGAAAATGGACTGGTCATTTGCAAAGCCTGGCAAGCTTTCCAGGGGCCTTCTTAGATCTGTCCCCAGCCCTGTATGGTCCCAGGCAAAGGCTCCTCCAGGTAGACTAGCTCATAGCCAACCTGGAAGAATCAGAAAGTAGCACCGAGGACCAGGGCTGGGGCAGAAGCTCCTGGCAGGGCCTGATGAGCTGGTCCTGTGGCTTCAAGGCCAGAGCTAGGATGGCGGCCAGGTTAGGGAGGGGGCTGCTATTGCTCCCTCTTGTGCTGTGTTCAGTCTCCTGGCATTCCTTGACATCCCACCATGTCAACAGGTACAAAGAGTTCTGCTCTAAATCCCATTTAAACCAAGGGCAGGCACTGTTCTCTCATCCAAACAGTTCTTCCAGTTTATGAAAGACTGCCACCAACACATCACCCCAAAAAGGGGAGGCTGAGGCCAGCAACCCTGGTCAAAACACCCAGGGATCCTGATGGAGGGCGCATTACTTACTGGGGCCAGAGTCCAGTCCAAGCTCTCCTTCCATTGTGTCTCGAGGGCCCCAAGGATACGGCTGCTCCTCCTGCTTGATCCAGGACAAAATGTCATGTGCCGAGATGAGAGACTCTATTTTCAGGAAAGAAGGTTCATTATACTTCATTCTCTCCCAGCTGTTATCCCACAGAAGGATGGAAAGCCATTGCATGCAGAGGCTCTGGCCATGTGGAAGGTGGTGTCTTGGGCATCCATCTATATTTATGGGGTCCTTCTTGCCCTCTCAAGCCTTCCTACATGGGCTCTCACTCATGCTACACAATTCAAAGCTGCYAGAGAGGAGGAAGCTCATCCCAAAGCCTGGGCAGCAACAAAGTCAGACTGGAATCCAGGACTTCCAACTGTCCACTGAGCCCCAGAGAGATGAGGCCAGGCCAGGCCAGAGGAAGACTCAGCTCTGATAGCCCACAGTGCCATGGCTGATTGGTCTGACTCAAGAATTTGGTGATGCAGAACCAGYAATCAAAGCCACTGACAAGACCCATGTGAAGCCTGAGGACTCTTTACCAGGGAGACTCTGCTTCACCATCTGCCCTGGGTCCCTTTAATTTCTCCCTTGATAAGTTGAAAAATTACAAAGACCCTTAGACTTTGCTTCTCATCCTCTCTTCCTGGTATGGGGGCTGGGATAAGACTTCGGTGCCAGAGCTTCCAGAAGGGATAACAGGGGACCTCCCCAGCTCTGCCAACGTTCACAAGTCACAGAGCCCAATTGGGTGAGCCTGCATCAGATTGTCAAAACTYGGTGCTAGGCCCCAGCTTCAATCCCCAGCACCACAAAAGAAAGAAAGAAAAAAAAATTGGTACTACGGTAATTTTAGTATCAGTTCCATTGATATAATAAATGATTTCTTTGACCTCAATATTCATTCTGACATTTTCCTCACCTGAATTGGGGTCTGTGGGAATATCTCTTTCTGCCAAATCCTGCTGGTCCCATACGCACTGCTGTTCTTCCTGCTTAATCCGGGACAAGAGGTCCTGGGCAGAGATGGGGGAGTCTATTCATGGGAACAAGAGCAGCAAAGGTGTTAATGAAATGAAATCGTCACCAGTTTGTGTTTTGAGTAAATCTATGATTTCATGCAATTATCTGTTTTCCCTAAAAATCAGGCATGTATGTAACTAAATTATTCTAATTAGCTAAAGAGTCAAGTCATTCTGGCCACAGACAATGTATCTGTGGTTGCAAATTAGTAGATTCCACAGGGGAATGACATAACCGTGACTTTAAGGTACAAGGTGTCTTTGTGCTCCAAATTTCCTAGAATGAGGTACCCACTCTATTGCTGCGACCACTATGAGAGGAGGGATCCTTATGAGGGCATTTCCCAGGAAAATGACCCCTTTCAGGAAGTTTTTTATCTTAGTCATTTGAACAGGACTTTTCTAAGATGAGAGAAAAGATCCCACATCCTCTTTCTTCCACTATTAAACCTAATTTACCTTTTACTGCCTTCTTATCTCCAGGTCTCTCTAAAGAGAGCAATACTTGGTGTTTTCCAGAATTTCCTGATGCCCAGGGAGAAACAATTCTTTTCCTAGATGCTACTATCACTTGCTTATGGGTCTGAGGCTTTGCCTAAGGGAGTCAAGGTATGGAGCTCTAACGAGTGGAAGAGGAGGGAGCCACAGTATGTTAATCTATCTTGTGATGGTTGCTTCTGTGTATCAACTTGGGTTGGCCAGATATTTGGTCAAATGTTATTCTAGATGTTTCTATCAAGTATGCTTTTTGGATGAGACTACATATGAAGTCAAAATGTGGGTAGGCTTCATTCAACCTGAAAACTCTGATAGAAAAGATGGAGTTTGCCAAGGAAAAGGAACACCTTCAGCAGATGGCTTGAGGCTTGAGCTGCAGCATCAGCTCTTCCCAGGCCTCCACCCCTGGCCTGCTTGGGAACTGCAGACTTGCTCGCCTCCACAATTGCTAAGCCAATCCCTTAAAACAACCTCTCTCTCTTTACACACACAAACACATGCAACATTGGTTCTGCTGCCACGCCAAACTCTGACTCACACACACACCTGCTACAGAGCCCACCTGGAATGCCATCGGGAGCAGCTCCCCTAAGACCCACAAGATACTTGGGCAAAGCACTGAAAAGTCTTCTGGGTCAGGGGGCAGGTTTTACTGGTCTCTATATTCTGTCCCCAGCAAGTCTAGTAAAGTGCCTTGCACTTAGTACTTTGGCAGTGATACCAGTTTTTGTTTGTTTGTTTGCTTGTTTTTGGTACTGGGGATTTAACCCAGGGGTGCTTATCCATTGAGCCACATCCTCAGCCCTTTTTATATTTTATTTTGAGACAGGTTCTCGCTAAGTTGCTTAGGGCCTTGTTAAGTTGCTGAGGCTGGCTTTGAATTTGTGATCCTCCTGGCTCAGCTTCCCAAGTCACTGGGATTATAGATGTATACTACCTTGTCCCGTGGTGATACTGTTCTTAAGGAAGAGGAAAGATAGTCCAAACCTAATCATAGAAAGATGAGTGCAAAGAGAACAAGCAAAGCCTGGGCATAGTCATGAACTGTCAATGCTGTGTGCCATGTCAGCACCCCTAGAGAGATCCTGCCTTGGCCCTGTCCTGCACTCGCAGTGTGCTTTCATTGCTGGTGCAGCCTCTGGTCTAGCACGCACACAGACACCCCTGGAGTTATGAACTGTGCGCAACCCCTCCACTCCCATCTTGGGCTGGAAGGCTGTTGGCTCACTCACCCGTGATAGATTCTGTGGGGATGGCTCTTTCCTCCAGGCCCCGCTGGCCCCGGACACACAGAGCTCCTTCTCGCTTCACTTGGGAGGATGCATCCTGTGCAGGCACCAGGGGTTCTGTTCCTGCAGACAGAGAATCACACTATTTTTCATATACCAGCCACCAGCACATTTGGGGTCAGGAGCATGGCTGCCCACACTTACAGGTGAGAGCAGGGGTCTCCGGTTCTGGATGACCCTGGGGAATAGAAGGTCCCAATAGAGAAGTGACCAACATTCAGAAAAAGGGGCAGGCAAGCAGCAAAATGAGGTGTAAGAGGGTGAGAAAGACTGGACACAATCCCACACCATACGACTTGGGTAATGAAGACTTGCCAGGTGTTTGACCTCTGACTGCAGTGATTTGTCCTTGCTTTTCACTGAAGTGGCCAGAAACAGACATACACATGCATGTTTGTGTACATATATATGTATGTAAATATATATTTACACATATACAAATCATACATTTACATGATTTGATTAGTTGCAGGCAGGTTGGGCAGAGGCACAGCTAAGCCTCGATGCTGGGTGGGTAAAGCACAGCATCCTTAAACATAAAAGACAACACATCCTTTAGTAGAACCCAAGATGTGGCGAAAGGGCAGTTTCCTCTTCTGGAATTCTACTGTGCAATGTACTAGCTCCTGGCAGGCGACACTTAGGCAATAGAAAGAGACTTGGTGAGGAATCTGAAGATGGGGATCCTGGTTTCAACTCTACCGACTCAGTGCATGAGGCATTTCACTCTCTGGGTTTCAGCTGCTGCTGCTTCTATAAAATAGGCAAGTTGGGCTGGGGATGTGGCTCAAGCGGTAGCGCGCTCGCCTGGCACGCGTGCGGCCCGGGTTAGATCCTCAGCACCACATACAAACAAAGATGTTGTGTCTGCCGAGAACTAAAATAAATAAATAAATATTTTTAAATAAATAAATAAATAAAATAGGCAAGTGGTCCCTGTGCTCAGTCCCAAGATGGTTTGATAACTCAATGAAATTGTGGACTTTATGGTGCCTGAAATGTAAAAAACTACCACATAATACTAGAGACTGCACAGACAGCTGCTGAACTCAGACATCTGCAGTCTTGATGAAGACGGGGCAGGAGTCACTGAGCTGGAACAGCCAAGAGGCAAATCCATGGAGACAGAGAGATTCATGGTTGCCAGGGCTGGGGCAAAGGGGAGAGGGCAGTGGCTGCTAAGGGGTATGAGGTTTCTCATGATGAAAACGTTCTGGAATTATACAGTAGTGACAGTTGCACCACTCAGTTAACTACTGAATTATATACTTTAAAAGGGTGACTTTTTTTTTTTTTTAGTTGTCAATGGATCTTTTGTTTTATTTATTAATATGTGGTGCTAGGGATCGAACCCAGGGCCTCACACAGGCCAGGCCAGCACTC